GACTCTGGTCACACAGCTATGAGATGTCTGAGGCAGGATTTGAACAGGGCTAGTACTCTCTCCACTGCACCACCTTACTGACTCTGAGGTGTAAAGTTCATACTTTGCCATGCCTTCATTTTCTCTGTAGTTGAGTATCATTCTTCCTTTCCAGGCTTATTTCATATTTTATTCTTCTAAAGAGAATTTTTTATCAGTACCTTTTGTTTTTTATATCAGCTTCATTTCTAAATATAGTCTCCCCCAGAAAGCCATCCTTTGTAACAAGAAAAACAAAAGGGAGTTCACTGATTGACCCATGACTGAGTCTGACATTATACTCATGGGTTCATACCTACAATCCCCCTTCTCTTCAAAAGAAGGAAAGTATGTTTTCTCCTTTCTCTGGGAGCAGAGATTTGATCATTTTAATTACAGGGCTCAGTTCAGGCTTTTTTGTTCTTTCCATTTCCAGTATTGTTCTTTTCTGCATTGTTCCAGTTTTGTTACTTCAGTTGGTATCAGTTCATTTAGAACTTCCCATGCTTCTTTGAATTCTTTCTGAATAGGTCTTAATGGCCCAGTAATATTCCATTGCAGTTTATTTGCCACAATTCATTTAGCTCTTCCCTTTCTAATTGGTTCCATTTCTTTGTTACAACAGAAAGTGCTGCTGGAAATGTTTTGGTGCATATTGGACCGTTATTTCTGTCTTTGATCTCCTTGAATTACATATGTTGCAGTATGCTCTTTGGGTCAAAGGGAGTGGGCTTCTTAGTTACTTTCTTAGTGTACTTTGAAATGGCTCTCCATGATGGTTGGACTATTCTCAGCTCCACCAACAGTGAGTTATTATAATCGGTCTTTCCGCAGCCCCTCCCACATTGATTGTTCCTGTCTTCTGTCATCCTACTAGTTGGCTAGTTGTGAAGTAGTTTTGGCTTGCACTTCTCCTGTTTTTAGTGATTTGGAGCGTGTTTTCAGATGATCATTTGGAGTTAGCAATTCTTCTTTTGCAAACTGTTTATTCATATTGTTTGGCCACATTTTCTTTGCGGAACATCTCTTGGTCTTCTGTATTTATTAATTTCCTATAAATTTTGGATACTTAGCCTTTATCATGGCTATTCAGCATAGGGATTTCACCCTGTTTTATCCAAGTTGCGTTAATTTTATTCGCACAAAAGCTTTTCAATTTGAATATTGAAATTATGTATTTTATCTTTAGTAATAGTTCATGAAGTCCTACTCCAAAGCTTCATTATGATTTGGAGGATTCTCAAAGGCAATGCTAGTGGAATTTAATCTTTAGCAGGTTTTGCCGTGCTGGGAAGATTTCTAACTTGGACCTGGTAATAGATTGTTTTCTGAGACTCACCGGTAAGCTGGTCACTTGGCTATTTATTCATTTATTTTGCTATGGCAGCCCATGAAACAAGGAAAATAAAATGGCCTTCAGCCCTGTGCAGCCCTCTTCTACTTCGTGGGATCATAGATCTGGAGCTGGAATAGATAATAGAGATTACCGAGTCTAAGCCTTTCATTTTACAGTTGAGGGAAATGGGGCATGGAGAGGTTAAATCTTTCCCAGGGTTATATAGGTAGTAAGCACTTACGGGCAAGATTCAAACTAGGTCTTCCTGACTTTCAGTCCAGCACTCTACCTGCCGCTTCTTGTTGTTTAGTGACGGTCCAGAGTTGTGGGAAAGGGGGCAGAGAGGGCTAAGAATTACAGTTTCTAGATTGTCAGTAAACTTTAATCTGTCTATTGATACTCAGATGTGAGGCCTTGGTCCAGTGAATAGTGAGGAAACCTATTTGGGGGGATCTAAATTGTATCAGTCTTCACATTCTTGCCATAAATGAAATTTAAAAAAGGAAGTTGCAACTCAAAGGGAGGATGGTTCCCAAGTATTCCTTGGCAAATGAAAGAAAGGAGTTGGCAGAGTGGGTTTTATCATATGCCCACAGGCAACAAGATTTAATTCAATATTTGATCATCAAGTATCGTGCACTAATGTTAAGTATTTGTAAAAAGACCTCCATGAGAATAATTGGAGCTTATGAACCAACATTAGTTGCCAATGACAAGATGGTAGAGAAATTCTACAGAGCACTTGATACAACTTGATAAATCAAATCAACATACTCTCTGGTATTTGGTGACTTTAGAGCAAAGAAGGGAAAAGGTGACGATGGGGAGAAATAAATAGGAAAGCAAGGCTCGGGAAGAAGGAATAAGGGAGGTTCAAGACGCATAGCTCATACAGAAGCCTCTTGCTTCTTCATCATGAATGCTGTCCTTTATAAAAGAATTGGTAGGTGTTGGACAAGGCAAACACCAAATAACACCATGAAGAATGAAATAGAGGCAGACGGGATTTCTTACAGATGGGGGAGTTATTTGAGTTGGTTGTCTGTGGACTATTAGACTATTGGCTTATTAAATTTGATATTGGAACTTGTAAAAATGAAGAATTATGAACATATTACAGAGCTGTTGTACAAGGTGTATTAAGGAGTGGAATATTCCAAAGGCATGGAAACCACAAGTGATACACAACAATGGACCACATTTCACCATTTCATTTTACCATTTGTTTATTATGAAAAGCATTTGATACTGTAGAGTAAAATGCCACCTTCCAGCCTTGTAACAAGGTGTTTCCCATCCATAAGTCAGAATCAGAATCTTCCTTGGAAGAAATAACCCTATTTGACACCCTCTGATAATAAACATCAGAAAACGCAGAAAACAGGTAGATATACCGCTGCCAAAAGTATTTGTTCTTTGATGGAAGAAATCTAACAGAGAGTCTAGTTCTTAGAGAGATTCTCTATGGAAGGTGTGGCCCTCTAGATATTCCTGTTTGCAGATGTCATCATGAGGATTGCATAAAGCCCCAGGACATTGTAGAGCCTTCTGGAAGAGAATTGTGATCCCTCAAAAGAGTTTGATCTCTGTATCCACTGAGGAAAAAGCAAGCGAATGAATGTGTATTGTGCCAGATTTCAGCATGTATATAGAGCTCTCTCCAACAGTATGTGTATCTGGGATGTTCAGTGAGTTGAGCCCAGAACTGAGTAGGAAGAGGAGAGCAGGCTGGAATGCTTTTGGGAAATTGCAGGGCTCCTTTACTAACCTCAAGCTTCTCATAAAAGCAAAGTTCACTGTTTTCAATACTAATATTCTATACATGCTGTGAGATAGCAACAAGATGCAAAATATAACTGCTTCTGACAAATGAAGTTTCATATGTAGGACAATAAAGAGGTTCATAGTGGTTGTAAGCAGGCTGCAGCTTACAGCAGATGAGGAGCTCTGACACAGAAGTCGGAGACAGCAGCATGGGTTAGTGATAACATAAGAGAAGTTGGATTGGTCATATGGAAAAAATATTGGATGACGGATGAGACAGGCAGAATGGTTTACTACTAGTGTCCCTACAGTGTGGGAAGAAAGCAAAGAAGGCCTCTTGGATTCAGGGGGTGGATCCCCTGGGGCTAGCTTTTTGGAGGATATGTACAAGAGTCAGAAAGGAATGACATGCGTGGATAGGTTGTGATCTTTGTTGTCAGAAAGTCCTGAACTGATGAGATCACAAATGCATTTGAATAGTTGAGCATCTTATGGGATTATTTCTGTCCATTCATTATTTGATTAAGAAACTCTCCCCTCATTCATAGGTGTGGACCTGACCTGGTTCTTTTCAGATTTTTGGTGCTATGACCTAACATTCAAGTCACATATCCACTTTAAGCTTGTTGTGATATATGTAAGCTAGTGGAGTAAACCTCATTTCTGCCAAACTGTTTTCTAGTTTTCCTAACCATTCTCAAGGATTTTTAAAAGAAATTTATATTCTTAGATTCATTTGTTTCTAAGTCTTTTTTTAAAATCTAATCTTGTTCATTGATCATTTTATCATATTTTATTTTTGCAAGGCAATTAGAGTTTTAGTGACTTGCCCAGGGTCACACAGCTAATAAGTGTCAAGTGTCTGAGGCTGGTTTTGCACTCAGGTCCTCCTGACTCCAGGGCTGGTGCTCGCTCCACTGCCCATCTAACTGCCTCCACTGATCTTTAAAAAAAAATTTTTTTTCGTCAGTACCAAATAGATTTCGTTGCTACTTTGTTGTATAATTTAAGGTTTAGATGTGCTTTTGTCCTCTCATGTTACGTTTTTGACATAGGCTTCCCTATAGCCAAATGAGACTGCTCTATATTCACTGTCTTTTCTTGTCCCTATGACTTTATTTTTGCCATTCCCCTAATGCCTGGGGATGTCTTCCATCTATTTCTCTGCGTGCTGAATTCCTATACATCTTTTATCAGCCAGCTTAAATGGCACTTTCTATGTTAAGCCTTCTCTGAGCCCCTGTTGGTAATGGCACTCACATAACACATGATTCTGTAAATTTTTGGTATATTTATCATATGCTACAAGGTGTCTCAACATTATTTTGGGATATCCTGCATATTGTATTCTAGTTATCTGTGTTTCATTCCGTCAACAGGCATTTATTAAGCATCTACTATGTTCTAGGCACTGGGCTGAGGTCTGGAGATATGAAGAAAGGTAAAAAAAAAAGTCTTTGCTTTGAGGAGTTTACATTCTAATGAAGGAGACAACATGCAAACAGCCATGTGTAATCAAGATCTAGATCGAAGGACAACACTAGCACGAACAGGGATCCGAAAAGGATTTTTGCAGAAGATGGAATTTTAGCTAGAAAATTCCAGGCATAGGGGAACAGACAGTCAGTGAAAATGCCAAGAATTGGGAGATGTGGTTTTTGTCTTTCACCCCTTTATTCTAGACTTTATTCCATGAGGACATTGGTAATGTCTTGTCTAAACTTTGTATCTTGAATGTGTTTTGTACACAGTAGACACTTAATAAGAAGTGTTTGGTAGATAAGTGTGTTTTGTGACTTTTACATAATTATCAAATAGAAGTTTTTAGTTCATGCAAGTAGAGTCACTAATTGAATTTAATTTTTCTTTTTGCATTATTTAGCCTGACCCCTTTGAAGTCAGTGATCCTTTTTCATCCTCCAGTATCTCTTCAAAAGGAACAGGTAAGAGGGAGATCTCCTTTCTTTCCTATTCCTTTTAAAAAAATGTAAATGGCTTATAATGCTAACCAGTGCATTCATATGCATGAATTGGAGGGGTTTTTTAAAAAAGTATTTCTTTTATTCTCTTATGTTAGTAGCATCTTGTTTATCAGTGTTTTGTATCTGTAAAAATTGTGAGAGTTGAGAGCCACTCTACCCAATCCTTGCTATAGGATTAGTTTAAAGTTAGTATTATCTGTCTGGTTATACCCATCAATAAGAAGCAGTAGCTTTGAAAAAGAAAATATACTATTGGGAATATGATTTAAGTTATTAGATTTTTCTTTCTTTTTTAAAAAATTCTTTAACTAATTAATTTTTAGTTTTCAACCATACAATTTTTTTTTTCTCGTGCTTCAGGCACCCACCAATTATCGAGCTAGCCAGGCTTCTTCTTCTCTGAATTCAGTTCCATTTCTTCAGAAAGTTCAGAGCTTTATTGAATGAGAAGTTTGCATTGTTATTGGTGAAAGACTTGGACTGGTACAGCCTTATAATGTGAAAATTGCAGAATATAATTAAACTATCAGGGTGCTGAGAATGAAAAGGATTCTGTAAAAACTCTTCTTTACTTTTGGGAGCTTAGCTGCCCAGCAGCTAAGCCAGGTCTGTTTATAAAGGGAGATAGCATGTGTGGGAGCATCACTGTGGTGTATTATTCATGACCAGTCACGACCAATCAAAGAGGCCTAAAAGGCATTAAAACTTTCGGGCCAAATATCATGGATAAAAGTTTACCCTGAAGTTTTGTCTCTCTCTTTTACTCTTTTTTCCCAAATATGGTTTGTGTTTTTCAACATGTTCATTAAGTTTTTGCAAAAAATATACATAATTTCTTTTGATTAAATACAGTTCTGGCTGGTTTGAAATGCAGGTGTTTCTTAGAGTTGTGTAGAATATTATAGCTGAAAGCCATGTTCAAAGAGTGACTGGTGGATTAACTAAAGTAGGAATTTTCAAAGACTGTTATTGAGGAATTGCTTCCTGATTTGCTATAAGGAGCACATAAATATAACTAGACCCTAATTACCTTTGTGGATAAGGTGGAAAGCTTGCGATTTTTCAAGATTTTTTAGAAGAAATGTTACAGATATACAAAATTGTTTTCTTGGTACAACTTACAGATCCCTTTGGAACCTTAGACCCTTTTGGAAGTGGTGCCTTCAGTAGTAGTGAGGGCTTTGCGGACTTCAGCCAGATGTCAAAGGTAAACTCAGCTCAGTGGAGCATTCCGTCTTCTCTGAAATTGTTGTGTTCTTTCATTGATTTCATGGTATGGGATATAATTACATAATTTTTAATTATACATCTCTGTAAAAGTCAAAATCTTGTTAATGATGTATATCAAATGTTGAGAGAAACTGGACTAGACAGGATCATTGGAAGTTATCTAATCCATATTTTTTCCTCTAACCAAAATCATAATATACCTGAAACACTCCATATGGAAAGGTTCTCTAGCCTTTTATTCATAGATGAGGTAGTTGTTGGTTTAGGTAAGATCGTTTGCAAAGGGCTTGGTGTTGGTGGTATTACTAGTCAGTAAGCTATGCCATAGCAGACTAGTCAATTCCTTCCTCTGAATATTAGCTTTTCTTCTGTAAAGTAGAAATGTTAATACTTGTGAGGAATGTCCTTTGTTACCTACAAAACAGTCCAATAAAGTTGACTTGTTATTGTTACTGCTAATGAAGGTGAATGTGGAAGTTCCACAGCCACCCTTATTGGCCCATCCTAGCCTTCGCAAGCTGTTCTACACTTCAGCAAACATTCCTTGAGTATAGGCAGTGTGCAAAGCCATGTGCTTTGGTGTGGGAGGGGCCTTAAGTACCATTCCTGGGTTTGCTGAGCTGTTAGTTAGACCATGATCATCTTTTTAGAACTAAAGAGAAATTCTAAAAAATTGGGCTTCACATATTCAGTTTCTGTCAGGATCTCTTTGAATAAATTATTCGTTCTACACAAACCCCAGATTCAGTGATAAAGTTTGTAAATACTGATCCATGATGCTTCTTTATGACAGTCAACATGACTGATAGTTGTCATGGTAACCATTTATTCTGTTCTTAGCCCCACTCCATTGTGCAGAAGCCCATGTGAAATAATGCGTTCGAACTTGTTTGTGCCAGTACTAAATCATGGTAGATATTAGAACAGAAATCTGGTGTGTGTTCTCTACCTCTTGTGGCTAACAGCAGAAGTGTGATTTTGACCTGTTATTTCCAAGAAAGCCTACAGTTCTTTAGATAAGCAAACAACCTGAAATTGGTTGTCATCCTTAATAAAGAAAAATAAAATTGCCTTTTATACAGCAGAGGAGATAGAGAAACAGAAGGATATGCCTTAGGTCTTTTCTAAATATGAAGAAAGAAGAATCTTTTATCCTAAAATTGAGATTGTTCTATAACTACCAAGTTTAGGAAAATCCAAGAGGCAGACAGAACAAAGAAATAAAATTTTTTTCCCTTTAAACTTTGATGTCTTTGGTTGTCTTTTCCCAGAGTCAGGTATCCATTTATAAATACAGGTTATAATTGGTAACACTAGTAGTCCAGATTTCCTGATTTGAGCAAGGAATAGAGGGTGTTCTGAGATCCTTTCTAGCTATGTATTTGATTCTAGAATATGTGTGCTCTGAGGAGGGAAGAACAAACTAGAAATTTATTCTTGGCATCTTTAAAATTTTTATTGATGTTATTTTTTAACCTCTTTATCTCTTTTCCTGCGATGAATCCTCCTTCAAAAGAACTCTCCTTTCTAATATTAGAAATACAATTAAGCTAAACAACTGAGTGCATTAGCCATGCCTAATTTGTAGTTAGCTTCTACTTTATTAAAAGTGGTCACTATTACAGAGAAACAATAAGTATCATTTTAAATCAGAAAGTTCTTTCTGAGTAAATTGTAACTTTTTCCTTACAGGGTTTGGCTTTAAGAACTTCTGCCACTTGGTGGCAGCAATTTCAAAAGAAGCAGGCTTTTAAAAACTGTTATTTTTAAAGTGCAGTAGCTCTGTATGGAGTGTCTCCACCGTAACTATAGAAGTAGAATCATAGGGATTTAGAGCTGAAAGAAACCTTAGTAAGCATCTAGTCTGACCTCTTCATTTTACAATGAAATGAGGAAATTGGGACCCAAAGAGGTTAAGTGACTTGTCCGTGGGCACAGTTAGAAAATGGCACAACTGAAGTTAATAGTTTTTTGTGGGAGAAGTTCTGTTATTTCAAAAGTTCAAGTGTGAGGTGTTATAGAAGGAGTTCCTTTAAGGGAAGTCAGGCTTAGGTAACCATAAGATTCCTTCCTCTGATTCTCTTGATTTCCATTTCAGTATTCTTTTTACTAAACCAAGTTAACTGTTTTAGGTATAAGAAATGGGTTTTAAAAAGTGATCTATTTTCATTTTTTGAAATTTTAACTTTAGTCCCATTTCAGACCTGTTTCTCTCTGTGTGCCTGTTTTTCACAATAGTAATTAGAGAACAAATGTGCATTTGTGATTTTTAGAAAAAGTCACACTTCCTGTTCAAACGTGGGATTGTGTTCAACTGGGAAAAGTTGGACAGTTGAAAATGGAAAATTTAATTTCCAACATGATGATGTTTTGTTTCCAGTGTTCCGTTAACTCCTAATTGAATGATAGTCAGAGCTTCACCTTTCATGTTGCAGCCATGTGCTTTTGCTCCTTATTTTCTTTATTCAGTTCATTTACTTGTTAAACACCTGCCACGTGTAAGGCTTAGACCTGGGCATGCAAAAATGAAAACATAGAAAAACGGAATCTGGAAACTGGAAGAGACCTCAGAAACCATCTAGTCAAAACCTTCATTGAAGAATTCCTTCTCTCGTATCCTGAACAAGTGGGTATTTAGCTTGAATATCTTCAGTGAGGTGGAACCCATTACCTCCCAAGACAGCCCGTACCACTTTTGAATAGCTTTAATTTTAGCAAGTTTTTCTTCACGTTAAGCCTAAATTTGCCTTTTTGTAACTTCTACCCATTGCTTCTAGTTCAGCTCGATGGGACCAAGCAGAAAAAGTCTACTCCCTCTTCCATAGGATACCCTTTCAAATATTTGAAGGCAGTTGTCATACTGCTCTTGAATCTCCTCCAATTCCTAAACATTTCCTCCTGTTGCATGATTATAAGGTCTGTTCTGGATGTTCCTCAGTTTATTATTGTCCTTCTTAAAATGTGGTGTCCCAAACTGAAAATGGTTCTCCCACTGGGATCAGGTCAGAGCAGAGTGACATGGCTCCATCCTCCCTAATCTTCCTGTTGCTATTAGCACAGCTTTCTTGAGCCAAGCAAAGCCCTTAAGATGCTTGAGGGCAGTCATCATGTTTTCTCTTAGTCTTCTCTTTTTTCAGGCTAAACATCCCAAGTACCTTCAGAACATACCATCATGGTGCCTCTTATGTATATCCTCTATTCTGTCAGTGTCTCTCTTAAAATGTGGTGTCTAGAACAGAACATGTATTCCAGATGTGATCTGATGAGGGCAGAATATAATGACACTATGGCTTCGCCTGTTCTAAATGTCGTTTTTCCTGAAGTATAGCTGTCTTGAACATTAGCATCTTTGCCTTCCATGTCACATTGCTGATTCATATTCCGTCAGTCAGCAGTCAATTAGCATTTATTAGATGCTACCTATTAGAGCATAGATGTTGTTGCTGTCATCATCAATAGTGTTATTGTACTTATTGTTACATGAAGAGGAAAGCTGGGAATAGTATGAGATGTGACCTAGATCTTGGGAGACCATTTTTCAGAGAGTTCGGAGGAAGAATAGTTAGTATCTTAGAGATTAAAATTCTGCTGAGGAAACTAGCCCAGAAGAGATGGGAAGTTATAAAGACACAAAGAAAAAATAATTCTAATGAAGACGAAAAAAGAGTTTCCCAGAGAGATTGATGTAAGTGCCCAGAGAACATGCCTTTAGATTTTAAGTAAGATGAATGAAAGGTAGAAGCAAAGCAGGTGATCAAGGTAGATTACAAAAGTGAGGCCCGTGGGGAGTGGCAGCAGCACTGAAACCCAGAGGGAATTGGGGTTGGTAGAGAAAGCAAAGAACCACACAAAGGATTTTAAAATTTATGTTAGGGGAAAAAAAGGAGGAGCAGTGAAGGGATAGGACCTTTGCTCATTACAGATGGGGTTCAGTCAACTGAGGACAGAAAGGAAGCTGAGCTGCGCTGCTCCTTTTTTCCTTGTTTTCTCTGCCAAGAAGAATGATGGTAGACTGGAAAGGACAGAATAAAAATAGCCAATAGGGAGCTGATGGCCAAGGTAAATAAGTGTATAACAGAAGTAATCAAGCTGTGTTAAGCTCTAATTTTGTGTTAGTTGTTATGCTAAGCCCTGGAAAGGCCCAGAAAAAGTTAAACAGTCCCTGAGCTTACAATCTATTGGGGAAGACAATATGGACACATTTTAAGTTTTTGCAAAATATACACAAAAAAACAGCAGTTTGGAAAGGGGAAAGGGGATATACTAATGGCTTGGGTATGGAGTGCAGGGAGCTGAGGAAAGGCTTCGTGTAGAACAGAGATGTCAAAGCTCTGTGATGCGCTGCCTCAGCATTCTCAAGTGGCCACAAACCAGCTGAAAATGTTGTTGGGAAATACTTAACAAAATAAATAAAAATACAATACAGTGTAGACAGTGCTAATATGTGATTTCTTAAGTCAATTGTATGGCTTAATGGCCCCTGTTTCTGTTTGAGTTTGATACCATTGATGTAGAAGGGGAGCCCTGTTCAGATATACCTTCTCTTTTTTTCTCCGCTGATCCTCAACCAAGTCAAGTCAAGACAACAAACATTTATGGAACATTTACTCTTTGCTAGGCACTGTGTTACATGCTGGGGATACAGAGAAAGGCAAAAACATACTTCCAGCCCTCAAGGAATTCCAGTCTAATGAGGGAGACAACATGTAAACAACTACATACAAGTAAGATACATGTAGGATCAACTGGAGATAATCAACAGATAGAAGGCATTGAGATTATGAGTACTGGGAAAGCCTTGCAGAAGATGGGATTTTAGCTGAGATGTTAGGGAATCTAAGGAGGCAGGAGGTGCAAATGAAGAGGGAGAGCATTTCAGACACAAAGGATAGCCAGTAAAAACACCTGGATTTGGGAGATGGAATATTGTATGCAAAGAGGCCAGTGTCACTGCAGAATACTTGGAGGGGAATAAAA